TAGAATTGATGAGTTTAAACATAAGTATAAAGGTATGTGTCAATCAAGATATATGCAAGAACAGGTTTAATGATTAATCAGATGGAACATTGTGGGTGTGGGGTAAGAATGTTAGCACTCTGTAATAATTCTTTAGTATATTACTTGTGTGGCATAGAAGATAATTATCTATGAATGTAATTATGTAAAATGTTAACACTCTGTAATAATTTTGTGGTATATTACTTGTGTGGTGTAGAGGATAATTATTTATGCAGAGATATTGCTTAGGACTTAAAAGTTGTAAGATGATGTCATGGGGTAGGACTAGATAAGTCTAACTTCTTCCTACTCCGTTCAAGCATGTACTAGGTATAAGTAAATTGATATTGGATTATTATTGTTGGATATGTGTGAAATTACATGTGTTGACATATCAACTGTTTTACATGCTTGAATGAATAAATCAAATCAAATCAAATCAAAATCAATCCATAGACATCACTGTGACAGTATTTGTTGGATGACTCACTTCACAACACAATACACAGCAATATATGGATGGACATCCTTGGCCTGCAGTTATTTTGCAAGCTTGCTGTCTATTTGATGGATGCCTTTTGAGGGTGACAACAAAGTGATTTCATTAGATATACTGACCAATTGCTAAAATAAACACTGCAAAGATGCCGATGACCTGCCATAACCTCAAGCCCCAGAAAACAACAGTCTCTGAGGTAATAGGATCCGGCTTCTTTGGAGGATTTGTGGGTAAAAGCTGTAGGGGAAAAAAAGAAAGCATTGATTCTTTTTCAAGTATCTACACATCAAACAGATTTTACAACAGAGAACCAACCTAAATAAGGTCTTAGAGGAACTCACGGTTTATATCATTTGATTTTTAGGCAATATAGTATGTCAGTAAAATAACTTCAAGAGAAAGTGAATGATGAACTCTGTGTGAATCTAACATACATACTGAGGTCACAGTTTAACACAACTGAAATATGAGATAGATATGAGAAGAAGAATGTGAAATAATCAAAAGGGTGCAGAATCCCTAATCACAGTTATCACACAAATGTCACATGGCCAAAATGTTGGACAATAATTTCAGTCCTTTCTGAGCTCCATAGGGGTCTATCCCAAGACTTTATGCTCTGTTGGTATATTTGACATGCTCATTTTCTTTATTATTTATCAATTTATTTAAACTTATGACAATACACTGAACTGACATACAGTTCTTGGCATACAGAAGTAATCCAAACCAAAAAAAAGGTCCAGATTAAAAAGGTCTTTAGCATTTCTTAAGTGCCTGCTTGTTAGATCGGCTCGAACACAGGGGTGAGCGAGTCACAAAAATATGACGGACCCAGGTGGCTGACTTCAGTGCAAGCAGTGCTAAGTTTAATTACAGTGAAATATAACAAGGAAATGAATAATCAGGTAGAAGTGGGACCGGGTGTCGAGCTGCAGAAGTGAATACAGTCAGTGGCTGAATGATGAGGAGAAGACCGGGCTGCGGACGCTGGGACTCACTCCTGGGCTGGTCATGGTGGAAAGTACTGAGGAAAAACAGAGTTTGTAAATACAGTTAGTAGGAGACTGTGCATCGACCTGCGTGGTGGAGAAGGAGCCGGGTAGAGGAGGTCCGTGGTCCGGAGAAGCGACAGAGGCGAGGAGGAATGAAACAATGGAGCTAAAGACTGGAACAGAGCTAGGGCGACAAAACGTGAAGATACTATACAGTAAAAGAGAACAGGAAACAAACGAGCCTGATAACGCTAGAAAGAACTGGCAGGGGAGTGAACGTAGAGCAGGGAATAAATAGGGAGAACTAATCAGGTGCAGCTGGTGGTAATCAGGGGATATGAAGCAGGTGTGTGATAACGTAATCAAGGTAAGGGAG